GTGTTACAAATTCCTTAATCTTCAAAACAACTCTATAACCATTCCCATTTACAGAAAGGAAATTGAGGTACATAGTTCATACAACTTATGGGAATTAACACTGAGATTCAAACTCAAGCAGTTTAAAGTATTGAAGTAGTTTCAAGTAGTACTAAATCTGTGCTCATTATATCTTAAATTGATCTTTAAAGCTACTTTCAATTTTGAGATTCTATGTGATTGTTCTGGTAGTGGTAGTATTAATTTGAGATAATACTATGCTTATTGCTAAAATTCAAAGATGTGTGAGCTGAATTTTAAAGACAGAGGGCTCTTAAGCTTATACGTTTACACATTGATTTAAATGAATTGGAATCCTGATGAAAAGGGCAAGGAGGGGAAAGGGCAAGGCATAGAATATGGTTCTCTGCTCTGACCCCATTTTCTGACTTACATGAAATGAGACTAGACTACATTTGTAATATGTAGGGAGCTCATATTATAAATGAAACTTTGAAACATGGAGGCATTGAGTATACAGTTGAAAAATATATGCCACAGAGCATGGAACCAGCTCTGGTAAATGGAAAATCGGAGGGACTTCAGGAGCATTTAAAAATGTCAGCTTTCTATAGGAAGGTTATGCTGAGATAGCTTTTGTCCTTAAATTACTTTTAGCTAACATCAGCTAGGATTTGCCAAAGTGAAGGAAGACATATGTTATGTGGGGTATATTCCTGGAGACTCACTCAGAAATAACTGTGCATAAATTTCTAAGAAAATTGGAGTACCTGCATTTTTCTTGATAGATCAAGCCTTCTGAGGCTGGTGATGTCACACAAGATACCTGGCTGTAATCTATCAACAATCACACAGTTAAGAAAAAAGTTGTCTACATTGTTATGCTACTCTAAAATAAAAAAGGAAGTGCATGAAGATGTTTCTTCACTGTCACTGCCTCCTCTTTCATTATTTATATGGTTTCTGGAAAGCACTTTATGTGAATCCCCAGTCTTCATGGCATTTAGCTTGTCTTTACTAATCATGCTTTATAAAAGAGTCAGAGAAGACTTGACGTTGATTAGCATCTGCAACTTGGATTCTGAGGCAGTTTGGGGGCCACAGATCTAGCATAGATATAGTCATGTCCTTCCAGTTTGGATGAGGCCTATCGACTGCTATAATTGGATGCTTTCATTCTCTGGGTATAGTTGCAGGCTCTCTGCAATTATGGAAAAACAATGCTGAAACCAAATGAAAGAAATGAAGCCATGGTTCCAAATAAAGTGAAGCCTTTTACCTGACCTGCTCAATGGATTTGTGTACTTGCCCACATACACTAAGCCCTGCAGCTAAAAGTGCTGTATAAAAATCAGCTATGCAAAACATACAACTAGATTTGTTTTATTTGTTGATACATTGCCTTTTATTTATATGTTTTGTTTTAAATGTTACTGATTCTAGATAGATTCTAGATGTGATAAATGGCTGTGGAAAACTGGGTCCCTATGTTCGTGTGTATACTTTGCTCAGCTTTCTGGACAGATTACTTCCTTTCCATGAGTCTAGGTTTTCCTATATGTAAAATGGGAGTTTTGACTAATTAATCCATGATGGTTCAGCAAAATTAATGATCTTCTGATTCTTAAATGTTGCAGAAATAACTTTTTTACTATCTTCAAAAAATTTTTGCCATCCTCTATACTATTCTGGTAGTGTAGTGGTTACGAGTCAGGCTGCCAACCTAAAGGTCAGCAGTTCAAAACTACCAGCAGTTCCGCGGGAGAAAGATGAAGCATTCTGCTTCCGTTAAGATTTACAGATTCGGAAACCCTGTGCAGGGTCTCTATGAGTCAGAACCGATTCTGCGGTACTTAACAACAACAACTACATACTACCTCAGGAAGGAGCCCTGGTGGTACACGGCACACCACCACCACCACCACCATCATACTACCACAGAAGGACCCCTGGTGCTACAGCAGTTTAGTGCTGGACAACTAACCAAAACGTTGGCAATTTGTACTTACTGGGGTTCAGCAGGAGAAAAACCTGGTAATCTGCTCCCATAAGGATTCAGCTCAGGAAATCCTATGGGGCAGTTCTACTCTGTTACACAGGGTCACTGTAAATTAAATATTGACAACATACTCCCCAGAAACATAAACATGTTCATTGACTGGTTTCAGGGCAGTCTAGCTGTCCAGTAAATGTTCATTAAATATTGCCATCTTAGGAAAGCTTTTATTTAACTTATCAAATTGAGCCTCTAACACTCCCTATTAACCTTGTCTGATCTGTTTTTCTCCATACAACTGTATTGCCATGTAGGAAACTTGATAATATTTTACCTGTTTTGCATTTTGTCTCTCTTCTCCAACTGGATTGTAAATCCCATGAAGGCAAGGAATTTGTCTTTCTGTCTGCTTATTTGTTTTTCATTACAATATTCTTAATGTCTAATTCTGGATATATATTAGGCATCTAATAAATATTTACTAAATAAATGAGTGAAGATACGTAATACACTGGAGAAAATAATCACAGAAAAGTGGATAAGAGTTTTAATTCTGGATCACAATGGATTATAATCTTAACTCCTCTATTTCCTATGTTTGAAAATTTAGGTAAATTGTCTAACTTTTTGAACCTTATATTTCCTTATTGTGAAGTGGAAAAAAATAATAGCAATTGGTATGTAGGATTAAACAGGACATTCACCTGAAGAGTTTAGCACAGCACCTGAAACATGGAAGGACACAATCATTGCTGTATTTGTTAACGTTGCAGTTGTTGTATTGTGACTATTAAGTTAAAGTATCTAAAAGCATCAAGCATATGGAAGTGGCTAAATAAATGCCACTTATTTCTCCATCTTGCTTTGTTGTTTATAGGCAAGTGGTACTGAAATATTAATATAGACATACTGACACCAAACTCTGTGTTTTTCTTTTTTGCCAGAAAAACTTTAAATAAAATTTCTGGCAAAACAAGGCAAGTGCCAAGTCTTGTGATGATGAATTACACAATAATTTGATTACTATACTTTAAAATATGAGGGAAAGGGGTTCCAGAAGAAAGCTTTTAGTAGGTAAAGAGAGAGAATATAACAATTTTTGTGAGTGGGACACAGAGAATCTCACCCTTGATTAATTTTATGGTCAAAATAAATCTGAACAGAACAGTCCTGGGTTGAAGACCTGCCATCCTCATAAGCAAAATTGTTATAGTATTTATGCTACCAGAGCAATCATTTACTGGAAAAAATATAGTATGTTATTGTATGCTTTTGATTCTTTTACTAAATAATGATGTTGTTAAGTGACGTCGAATTGGGTCTGATTCATAACTATCCTATATACTATGGTTTCTGAGTGTTTGGTGAGTTTGAACCACCCACCTTGTCACAGCACCACACCAGGAATAATGATGCTTCTTCCTTTGCTGTATTCTTTGGTTCTAGTCCTGCCAGTTTTCAAAAAAGTATACTGCACATGTTAGTCCCTCAAAAGCTTCTCCTGATCCCCTAGTTAAAGTTAAGCTTTTCTTTGTACTTTGCAACGTTTTAAAGGCACTTATTAGAAACTGTTTTTTATAATAGGCTTTTTAAATTTTGTAAATATACATTCATATATTTATACATTCTAAACTGGCTTGTTTCCCCAGGCTATTTATTTTCGACCCTCACATAAACAATGGGTTAATAAACTTCAAGCAAAGTGAGGGCAAGGATTATGTTCTAATTATATTTTACCTATCTCCATTCTAGTCCCCAGCATAATTTCTCATAAATGATGAGGACACATTCAACATTTATTGATTTGTCAGGCAAGCACTGGACTGTGATACATAAGGTCTAGGGATTGAGCTTGCAAGGGGGCACTCTGAGGGAGAAAGATGAGGCTTTCTGTTCCCATGAAGACTCAAAAGCCTCAGATACCCGTACAGGTTCAATGTGAGTCAGAACCAACTTGATGATACTTAACAACAACATTGAGGCCAGACTGTGTAGTAAAGAAGAGTGAATGGTCAGGATCCATGCAGAAACAGACAAGGTGCTAGACAATATATGGAAAGTCCATTAAGGAAGACTTCACAACAGAAGGAGTAAAGGATACTTGAGGAGGTATGGGTATGAGCACAGACATTTTCTAGTGATAAAGCTTTGTTTATATCAGCCTCAAGGAGACCAGTTCAAGGAATTCAAAGACTTAAAAGCAAACCTATTGCAGAGCTGTTATGGATCGTAACTGATTCAATGGCACTTACCAACAATAACAAATTATGATATTAGTGACTTCACTGATACATTTATTCCAGTGGTTTGTAAGAGCCATAACGAAAGGTCTAAATAACCTAAGGGTAGGAGATCTGGACTAGGCAGTGAGACTTGAAAAAAAAAAATGACAGCCAAAAAACTGCCTGTTGAGAATATGTTAATATACAATTAGTTAGTCTTTCTGACAAAAGCTGTGCTTCCTTAACAAGTGTATTTAGGATTTGACCCTATTATTGTCTCTTATTTTAAAGCAACCTCGTTGAAAAATATTGAAGCTTACAAAAATATTGAAGATTACAAAAAAGTAATATGATCTAAATGAAAACAAGGAGTCTGAACTTGTAATAGAGCTATTAGGGAAATCAACCAGAGACTTTTCTGGATGGAGACTATCTATACCAGTGTGGTCACATGGTTTTGTTTGTGAGCTCAGAAAAAATTTCCAGTTAGTTGTTTATCCTGGGTCTTCTTTTTAGAACATGGGGATGAGTATTATACCTTTTAAAAAGCTTAACTTTTCTCTTCAAAAGACAAATCCTGAAATGATCACCATCCCTAAATGTATTAAGGAGTTCCCTCTTACCTGGGAAAATTTGAGCAAGAAGTGTGAGGGCAGCAAAAATTAAGAAAAAGATTCTCATGGCTTCAAGAATCAATGAAGAAAGGATGAAGGAAGTACATTATTTAGAGTCCAGCTCTTTTATCAAGGAAAGCTGAATACAGCTTTGTTATAAGCTCCGAAATGGCTGGTATGCAATTTTGATTTGTAATGCTCATTAATAGTGCATATGTCTTCATGCTCCATTGACTAATGTGTGGGCTAAATGATCAGATCTTATCTAAATACCATTATGGGAGAGTAAGGCAGAGAACACTGTTTTCCTTCCTTGAATACTCTATTTTACTGCTGTGCTGAGACTTCTCCCACTCTTTCATTAAGTCTTATCTCAAGTATCCCCACTCTAGAAGAACTGTCAGTACTATCCCTCTTCTTCACGATCTAATATTGTTTACAAATTTATCTTTCATAGATTTTTCTCAGAAATTATTAGCAGAACTTGATATTGTTGCTCATTTTAACTTTTAATTGTGAATTGAGAAAAGGTTTGAGCAAATCAGTTTTCCATTCAATAATCCATACATGTTTTGTTTCATGTCATTGAATGCAATTCCTGTAATGTAGTGTCATTTATCCCATTTCCTTCCTGTATTTCCATTTCTCCTCTTTCCTAACCTTTCCTGCCTTCTGAACTTTGTTTTGCCTTTGTTGTTGTTTTTAAGTACCATGGAGTTGGTTCCGACTCATAGTGACCCTGCACCGGGTTTCTGAGGCTATAAATCTTTACAGGAGCAGAAAGCCTCATCTTTCTCCCGTGGAACAGCTGGTAGTTTTGAACTGCTGACCTGGGGGTTAGCAGCCTAATTCGTAACCACTACACTACCAGAGCTCCTTTGTTTTGCTCTTAGGTAAATGCTATTCTTATGATCTCAAATGCACAATTGTTATTAGGAATACATACTTTCCTAGTGTTACTCTTCCCCTTATTAAACTGTCTATTATTTGGTTGAAAATTTAGCCATGGTGGTGAGTTCAGTTTAAGTCTGAAGGGTGACTAAAAATCATAGTCTTGGGTGTTCCATCACTCTCTATCCAACCAGTAAACCTAATCTTTTTTATGAGATTGAGTTTTGTTTTATAGTTTTTTCCCCACTCTTTCCAGGACCTTCTAATGTAACCCCTTTCACATTAGAAGTGTGGTAGCCAGTAGTGGTAGCTGAGCTGATGTCACCTAGTGCTTCTTGTCTCAAGGTCATGAGGCTGATGCTCATGTGGTCTGTTAGTTCACTGGACTAATTGTTTCCATGCATCTTTGATTTTCTTCACTCTTCTTTGCTCTGGTCAGGGAGAAACCAGTAGTTGCACCTTACATGATTGCTCACAAGCTTTTAAAACCTTAGTCCCTACTCTCCGAAGTATGATTTAGCACACTGTCTTTGTTAACTATGTCATGTCAATTGATCTTGGTGTCTCTTAAGACTATAGTCCTGAGCCCTCAGGGCAAGCAACTAACTTCCTTAAGGTGTTTGGTTATGGTTAAGAACATGTTCAGCACTTCTCAAGTTGAAAGAACTGAGGAAAAAATTCAAGCCCCTACTTGAAATACTGTAGGATTATTTGGGCAAAATATTGAATGATGCAGAAAACATTAAAAGAAGGTGGAAGGAATACACAGAGTCACTGTACCAAAAAGAAATGGTTGATGCTCAGTGATTTCAAGAGATAATGTATAATCAAGAGTCATGGTACTGGAGGAAGAAGGCAAAACTGCACTGAATGCATTGGCAAAGAACAAAGCTCTGGAAATTTATGGAATACAAGCCAAAATCTTTCCACAACCTGATGTAGTACTGGAGGCACTCACTCACTTATATCAAGAAATTTTGAAGACAACTACCTGGCCAACTGATTGAAAGAGATCCATATTTGTGCCCATTCCAAAGATAGGTGACCCAATAGAGTGCAGACATCATAGGACAACATCATTAATATTGCATGCAAGTAAAATTTTGCTTAAGATAATAAAAAAAAATGGCTGCAACAGAATATCAACCAGGACTGCCAGAGGCTCAATCTAGATTCAAATGAGGACGTGGAACAACAGATAACATTCTGATGTCAGATGGATCTTGGCTAAAAGTACAGGATACCAGAAAGATGTTTACCTGTGCTTTAATGACAATGCAAAAGCTTTTGATTGTGTGGAACATGACAAGCTGAGGATAATGGACAACACTGAGGAGAATGAGTATTCCAGGACACTTAATTGTGCTCATGAAGAACCTGTATATAGGCTAAGAGACAGTCATTCAAACAGAACAAGGAAACACTGAATGATTTAAAATAAGGAAAGGTGTGTGCTAAGGTTGTATTCTTTCACCATAATTTTTCTATCTGTATGGTGAGAAAATAATCTGAGAAGCTGGATCATATGAAGAAGAACGTGGCCTCAGAAATGGAGGAAGACTGATTAACAACCAGTACTATGCAGATGGAACTACGTTGCTTGCTAAAAGTGAAGAGGACTTGAAATAATTACTGATGAAAATAAAATAATACAGCCTTCAACATAGATTGTACTTCAATGAAAAGGAAATGAAAATCCTTATAACCTAATCAATTAATAACATCATGATAACTATGAAAAGATTGAAGTTGTCAAAGACTTCATTTTACATGGATCTACAATCAATGCTCATGGAAGCAGCAATCAAGAAACTAAATGATGTTATTGCATTAGTGTATTGTATTGTTAAAGAGCAAAGGTGTCAGTTTTAGGACTGAGATTTGCTTGATTTAAGCCATGATATTTTCAATCGCCTTATAGACATACGAAAATTGGACAATGAATAAGAAAGAATAAGGAAGAATTGATGTATTTAAATTATGATGTTGAAGAGAAATATTGAAAGTACCATGGACTTTCAGAAGAATAAACAAATCTGTCTTGGAAGAAGTACAGCCAGAAAACTCCTTAAAAGGGAGAATGGAGAGACTTCATCTCTTGTACTTGGAACATGTTGTCTGGAGGGTCCAACTCCTCGAAAAGAGCATCATGCTTGGTAAAATGGAGAATCAATGAAAAAGAGAAAGACCCTTAACAGGATAGATTGACACAATGACAGCAACAACAGCCTCAAACACAATTGTGAGGATGGCGTAGGACCAGGTGATGTTTTGTTCTGTTGTGCAGAATACTGATATGAGTAGGGGCCAACTCGAGGATACCTAACGATGAAAACAACAATCAGCAAATGTTAAGATAATCAAAAGGGAGATTATCCTGAGTGAAAATCCTTGAGTGGCAGAAATGATTTGCTCTTAATTATTAACCTAAAAATTGGCGGGTGGAGCCTAACCAGTGGCGTCATGGAAGAAAGTCTGGAAATCTGTTGTTGTTGCTGTTAAATGCTGCAAAGTATGTTCCGATACATAAGACTTATTCAAGAAATCACTATGGAGTTTTACTTTTTTACACCTGGAGTCACCGTGAGTTGAAATTCATTCAACTGGCAAATGGGTTTATTATAGCTGTGCCTAATCTAATCAGTAGAGATTTGAAGTTGGTGTTTCTTCTAGCATTGAAGAAAACTTCCACTTTATGGAAGGAGACACATGGCAGTGGATGACTCCTGCTGACAGCCAGCAAGATATCAGTCACCATTATCCTGCAATTGCAAGTAACAGAGTGTTGCTGGCAAACTGAATCTGGAAGAGGACCATGAGCCTCAGAGGAGATCTAAACACTGGCCACCAGATTAATCACTGAGACCCTGGGAAGGGAACCCATCATATTCAGACTTCTGAGATTGTATTTCTGAGATTGTATGTGTTGTTTTAAATTGTGGTACTTTGTTACACACCAAAAGAAAATAACTTGCTTTTTTTTTTTTTTTTTTTTTAGAAAGGTGATATTCCTTTGTGGGGGTCTGGCATTTATGTGCTCTTTACTTCTATTCTGAATTTCCTAGAATCACCCTGTGAGGTCCAATACATTGTAGTTTCCTGAATGGTTATTTTTTTGTTTTCTGGTTTATTTACTGTGAATTTATCTCAACTCTTCTTTCCCAGGAATATACCCTAAATCTGTTCACTTTTGTCCTGACATGCCACATTCTTGGGAATTTTCTTTTTCAGATGGTTTCCATATAGTTATCTTCATGACAGTCACTTGGTCTGTGGAAATCACACCCCTTGCATGCTTAGTATCATAAATATAATTTCTTTCACTGTTGCTCTTTTCTTCTCCTGCTGTCCTGGGCAGCTCTGACCAGGAAATTTTGTCCATAGTTCAGATGTGAGTTAGCGTATCGAATTCTCAGAGGCCTTCTTGAAGTCTGTCTCATAAAGCTTGGTGTGAGACTGACATTACTCTCTACCTGCCCCCAGTGAGGTAGTGAAATACAATTACAGTACACACAGTATTTTCCTAAACGTCCTTTCTTTTGACTCCTTTACCCTTAATTCTCTCATGTCTTCTAGGGACATGTCTAAGTATTCCAAAGCATATTTTGTGGTCATGTTCTTTACTAACCCTATATTGGTGATTAGTATCTCTTCTGGGAATGTGGTAGTTAATGATATTTGGTGTTTGTCTTTTGCCTTTTCGGGGCTTTAGCCAATACTGATTAGTCTTGTTCTGTAGGTGTCCGGCCATTCATTTCTTTTCAGCTACTGTGAGGGAGTTTTGAAATGGAACCCAGAACCAGAAAGGTGTTCATGTATGGTTAGTATAATAAGACCACAGCTACAATTTCAAAAATAATGTAACTACGATTTCAAAAAATAATGTAGTTAAAGTCATGCCAAACAGGAATGTTATGTATCTATAATGTAGAATTTTTAACTTAAACCTAAATAAAGAAATGCCCAGGTTTGACATGCATAAGCTTGCTTAATTTGTTGAAAAATATTCATGGAAAACCATACAGGTAAGTCCTCAAGACATTCATTTAGATTCGTAAAATCAGAATTAACAAGTTCCATTACAGTGTTGGAGTCCTGGTGTGGAGCTGTGGGTTAATGCATCAGACTGCAAGACCAGCAGTTCAAGCTCACCAGCTGCTCCTCGAAAACCCTATACAGGGTCGCCATGGGTCAGAACTGACTCAACAGTACTTCACAACAACAACAACAACAACAACAGTTACAGTGTTAGTTTCAGTCCCAATCTATAGACTTCAGGCTTCT